AAAAACAAAACTAAACCACAATGATCCGCAGACTAAAATGCCATGGAGTTCTTTGTAATCCCATGTAGTCCTCCATCTCACTGTAAACTCGACCATGCGAAGTAGAATATGGGAGGGTCTTTAAAATTAATTGTAGGGTGGTTGACCTCTCCCATACTTGCCCTTGATTTTCCATTTGCTTGCCTCAACCCTCCTATATGTCTACTTGATTTTCCATTCGCTTGCTTGCCCTTATGTTACGTTGTCATCTCGGGGGAGGGGTCAGGTACCTTTTAAATAATTCTCCAATATATTCCAATTATGTGGCAAGTACCGACGCCTTCCTGTTGCTTCTGCCTCTTTCTATACATGTGAAAGCAAAAACAAAACTAAACCACTACAGCATCGGTTATCTTTTTTTGGGCTTGTCTCAATCGTTCTTGATATTTCTTCCTCAGCAACTCAAGCTCCATGATGTCAGAAGCCTGATTGTGTTCCATTGGTTGTCTCTTCTTCGGAAGCCTGGACATCGCGCGACTGATGTTGCGGGGTGTGTGTTAGATTCCGTCTGTCGGAAAAAGCTTTCCGTGAGAATTTCCGACAGCTCGGTTGTCCGACTCAGTTCCCCCCCCGGGATTGATCCACAAATTAATTGGAGCACATGGACACGCTCGTAACCAAAACTGTTCTGGAGCCAAAAAATTCCAAGCTACCGTTTGACACGTCTAGGAATAATTTTTATCGACTACGTCCCCCCACCTCAAAATAAAAAAAAAAATTTTTGCTGGTGGTCCCTCCTACGGTCCCTAGATCGGGACGGGTGATGTAGGAACCTCAGACAGGGTCGCCCCCAATCCTTGGCGAAGAGTCCTTCTGACAATTTTTGACCAGTAATCCTTTGTGCCCGTTTGGCATGGTAGGCTGAGTTGTGACACCGATTTTATGTTAGGTAGAGACGGGCTTTGGGGTTCCAGATGTTTATGGCAACGTAAACGATGTGGAGTTAAAGCAAACGGAGCACCGTACTCGAATCGCATAAAGAGCGCTCCCAAGACTTTTCCGGTGAGCATCCAAAGTCAGAAAATAAACAATGTCCTTTGAAGTTTGATTTCAATGGGTGGACACTCCAAAATGCTGTTGGCAGATGCACAGGTGAGCGCGCAGCGAAGCCCGCCAAATTCTCGCGTGCCCAGCGCGGAAAAAAAACATGTCGAAAACCGCAGTCGTCGACTTGCGAGTTGCGAGAACCCAAAAGCATGCCATGGATAAGGGGTCAGACTGAGGATCTCAGCATGGCTTAGGTCAATGAGTCAGAATATCATCCCAAAACAGGGAGGATTCTGTTCATTCAGTGGATCTCCCCCCGTGCCAACATTCTTTTGACCAAAAAAGATTGGGTTTCGTTGCCGACAGTGGACAGCCTGCCCTGCCATCAACGGAGTTCGAGCACGAAACGCGGTGTTCGGCGATGGATGCAATTTCTTAAGTGACTGTAAAAGGCGACTTGATCTTGGAGAGATTGCGTAGCACTTCAGCCATTTCAGGTTCAGCCTGCGTCAAATGAGACTGATCACAAAGCTGTTCGTAGTCGAAATACAAAGCAGGTTTCAGGTGGATTTACATATGACTCAAATACTTGTGTGTTCTTGCAAACTTGAATGGATTTGTGTCGGCCCGCAAGACATACTCGCCCCTCTCACGATCCCCAAAAACCTTTGGCTGGATTCCCCATCATGTTGACTGTTGAAGTACGACTTCAGAACCCCACTTGTCCAGAATATCCTTACATCTCCAGTCCTCGGGATCTTCCTCTTCTTGTTTCAGGAATAAAACCCCACACTTGGATGGTCGTTCACGGATGTTGGCCCGGCCTGTTGGGTTGAAAGATCATGTTTGTGCATTTTGGGCGTCACACTATATAGTACCCAGAACCTCAGAACCGACGTCACACTATATAGTAGGTTGGAGGCCATCGCTATTAGGTTTACGTCTGGGCTCAGAACCTTGGTCGAGCGGATCGCTCGCGGTGTGCGGAGCGCGCCTGCTGGAGCCACCCGGAAGTGGAGGACGGAAGCGGAGGGGACGAGGAAAAAACGGGGACATGACATGAGGGTGTGTGGGAAGCCACTGAGTGAGAAGTCAAGAGGGCAAAGCCGGGATAGCCTTGCTAGTTCAATCTGATGTTGCTTCATGCTGCTTTAAGCATTCATTTAAATGTGGTCCTGCAAGGGTTGAAGGGTGATGGCACATGAGATTGGTAGTTGAAGTTACTGATAGTTACTGTATATCGTCTAGTTGATTCATCCCTCAACAGATAGATGGGACTGCTAGGCGCTTGGAGCTGCATGGTTTCTGCACCATTTGCAGGATCGAGGATGGCTGAGGCTGGGCCTTGCAGCTGGGTTTGAGAGACGCTGGGGTTCCTCTTGACTTGTGGCAGAGGCTCCCAGTGAAGGAGAAAGTCGAACAGCTTCGGAGGAAGAGGAACATGGCTCTGAGCCAGCACAGGAGCCAGGGATTCGAAACGCCGGTTCGATTTCATTCATGGTACACAAATGTGTGGGAAAATCAAAAAGAAAAAGCAATTACAAGCATACAAAAGCACATCAAACAAGCTTTGTCGACTAGCCAAATAGATTCGGTGTGGATTGTGCTGGCAAATAAACTACTCTTAAAGGTGTCTCCCATTCCTCTCATAAGAACCTTTGTCATATTTTTTGAGACAATTCACGCCCGATCGTTTTTGACCCTTTGACCAAGCACTGGATGTGGCTTTGCTGAGCATGTTCCTGCTTTCTTCAGGCAATGTCGTTGTCAAGAATGTTAAGAGATAGAGGTGGTATGTAAGTTCTTTGTGCGACCCAGGTATTTCATCGTATTTCGATAGTGATGATGTTTAAAATGATTTGTCCTGCGTCCCTCTGTTTTTGGTGCCTAACATGTGCTTGCACCCATAACAAATCATAACACTCCACTTTGGGGGCAACCAGCATCTTGCCATGCGTGAGCTTTGGAGGACAGCGAAGGAGAGGCGTTTGAAGAGGAACTGCAGCAAGCGATGCTTCAACGCGTCCCTCGGTCCGGCACCGCCGAGGCGGCCGGTCAGACGAGACCGAGAAGCGACATGGTTGGGCGACAGGTGTTCGATATGTTTCGATCTAGGGCGTTTCGATCTGGCATGGGTTCGGGACAAGATGCAAACAGCATGTTGGTTTGTATCTGTTTTGCATAGGTCATTAGCTTCGTTCTGTTCTGCAGGTGACTTTTCCATTGTGGTTGAGCACCCCGGTCGCGGCTCAGGTTGAACAGATGCTCTATGGCAACAGTGGCTTGCCGTATCTGGGCAAAGAAACAGCAAACCCGCTGGCCTGCATCAACTGAGTGGAAAGCCCACCCAACTCCACTCGTCCTATGTTTTTTTTCAGTATCTTGAATATTACAATTCTTGAATCGTGGATAATCATAGCTTTTCTCCACAATTGCCCTTTTCCTACTTGTTCCGGGGCTGGACTTTGGTGGCGGTGTGTCCTCCAACCTGCATTTGGATAGTGTGGATCGTTTGGACAAGGATTGAGGCCCCCCAAGTCAACTTGGTGGGAATCTGGAAGACAACTTGCAGGATCCTGACATTCTTTTGGGTCATGTACGCAGATCCCAGATGTAACATCCCTGCATGGCATCCTGGCAACGCTCGCTGACCCAGGATCCAAGCGCCCAAGGAACCGGAGCCCTACTGGCCCGGGGAAAGCATGGGAGACCAGCTGGGAGCCCTACCGGAAAACCGCTGAAAAGCCACTCTTCTGGACGATCTGGTGATGGGATGGCCATGTTTTTCAGGCATGATTCAATGGGTGAGCAAGACGTGTTTTGTTCCCACTTATATAGTGACTTGTAGTTTCACATCTTGCTGATCTGTGGGGTCAAACCCAAATTGATGACCTTGACCGATGGACTTTTCGAGATCCTCAACTGCAGATCAAGTGCACTTGTCAGAGGGTTTCTCCAAGGTGGTGGAAGGAAGAGGATCCGAAATCGCCCACGACTCCAAACTCAGAAGCAGTGCTTCGGCGGCGCAAGGGTGAGTGGCGTTCGCCAAAGTTGAGGACTTGGAGTAAAGTTAGAAGAGTGCAATCCTGTGTTTGTTCAATCCGATGATTGAAGACGTACCATATTGTCCAATTTATTCAACATGTTTTCACCGACCCATGTTGCTAAGTAGGTATTGACACATCAGTCAATCCTGGAACAAGATCAGTCTGAATCAGATTTAAGTGCCACGCTAGTAGTAACAAGTGCCTTACTAGTAGTAACAAGAAGCTATTAGGAACAAGTGCCACGCTAGTAGTAACAGGTGCCTTACTAGTAGTAACAAGAAGCTACTAGGAACTAGTAGTCAGATTTGATCAGATGCTTCTCACGCTTCGGGCACCGGGAAGATGGCGCTCCGAGGCGCCGGGCGTGGTGTCCCAAAGCTCTCGGAAGGAGGCCATGGGCACCGGGAGCCACGAGCGTCCACGAGCCGCGGTGTGCTGCTCTTAGGTTGGAGGCCATCGCTCTTAGGTTGGAGGCCATCGCTCTTAGGTTGGAGGCCATCGCTCTTAGGTTGCGGGCCATCGCTCTTAGGTTGGAGGCCATCGCTCTTAGGTTGGAGGCCATCGCTCTTAG